TCCCTACATGATTTTTTTATTTTTTTATGAATTTTCTTCTTCTTCTTGTATTTTTTTTTTTAAATGATCTTTGAAGAATGCTTCGTAATTTAAAAAAAACACTATAGATTATTACAATATTTCATCATATAGTTTTTGTTTTGTTATAGTGCTTTCCATATGTATTTTTTTTTAAATTATCTTTGTTGATTTTTTTTAATATTAAACTGGTTAAGAATTCAGCTTTAACTTTCTTCCATGTTTTTTTTTTCTTTTTTTTCTTTTGTAATTGTCTTCTTCTTCATCTTCTTTTTGTTATTTTTTGTGTTTTTTTAAAATTGTTTTTGTTAATTTTATTTTTTTTAATATAGAGCTGGTTAAAAGTCAGCTTTGTAATTTTTTTCTTTAAAACACCGTGGATTGCTACAGTGTTACGCCACATGGTTTTTTTATGATTTTTTTTTGTTTTTTTATAGAATTGTCTGTCAATTTTTTTTTCTTCATACTGAGCTGATTAAGAATTTTGTTTCGTAGTTTTTTTTCTAAAACATTGTGAATTGCTACAATATTACCTCACATGATTTTTTTATGATTTTTTATATTATCTTTATCGATTTTATTATTTTTAATATTGAATTGATTGAGAATAACAACTGTAAAATTCCTCATGAAACACTATAGATTACTAAAGTTTTTCCCTGCATAGTTTTTTTCCTTTGCTTTTTTTTTGTTATGATTTTTTTCAAATTTTTCTTTGTTTATTTTTATTTAAATATTAATCTGGTTAATAATTTGATTTTATAATTTTTTTTTTGAAAATATTAGGAATTATAACAATTTTTTTTATATAATTTTTTTCTATGAATCCAAGATAACACATCTAGTTTTAAAGCTATGTGATGTGCTCCATAAAGCTTTTTCAATATTCTCAATCCTCTGTCTTTCTTTTTTCCAAACTTCAAGCTGCCAATATTATGCATATTCTCTTGCTCGGAGAGAATTCGATTCCATCTCCACCGAGCATAAATGGCCCGTCCTCCGTTCTTTCTACTGTTGAGATTCAAGAGTAATACCTAAAAGAGGAACCTGTAGAAATTGGGAATTTTTCCATTCCTCAGAAAGAATCTGGCAAGGCAACTGTTGCAGCTATTTGGCAACAAAGACATCCACAATGCCACCACACACTTGCCCATAGAGCATCCACAACGCCAACTCTGCAAGAAATGGAATCCTCGAATCAGGGCTCATCATGAGTGTCCACCACAAGAACGATAGTTTCCTAGAGCAATTGTCACAGTTAGATTCATATAATATAAGTTTTGCTTGTTATTGTAGTTATTAGTTGATTTAAAATTATAAAATTTAAATAAAAATTTAGTTTTGAATCAAGTTAAAAATTAATCCGTTAAACTCAAATAATCTGATAAGTCAACTTATAATGTAGTTCACTCAACCTAACCTAATAAATTAATTTAGTGATTAACTAATTTAAAATTATATTTGAATTAAAATTTATTTTTAAATTAATTAAATTCAGGTAACCTGATAGATCAACTCATCATCTAATTCTCAACTCATCATCTAATTCGAGTGAGATATATAATCGAGTTAATTGCAAGATTTATTTTTAGTTTTTACACAAAACAACAATATTTTATAATGAATTCAGGTTGGATTTACGTGACAAATTCTTGAGTCCGGGTATGATAACCATAGCTTCTTAGATTCTCCTTCCGTCTGGTGAACGAATATGGGTTGGTCTACAAATTTAATCGTGTTTGATGCCCTGTGTATAAGACTCGTCTAATGTTATTATTAATTATTACAGTAACTCTTTTTACAGCCTCCTAAATCCCAATTAACATCGAAAAGCGAAAGCAAACCTACCTATCAGCTATGCTAAACCATCACACTCATTTCATACCTTCAACGCACTACTAGGCTACTAGCATCCCATATGGTTGCAAAACAATTTAATATTAAATGATAAAATTTAAAAGAAAAAACTACATAAACAAAAAAGAAGATTGGTTTGGTGAATAGTGAAATTGAAAACAAAATCTAATAAAAAAGCAAAAAAAAAAAAACCTATACACACAACACTATTTTAATAAATCACAACCAAAAATAGCAAAACACCAACGAAATATTATATCGGTATAAACACACTAATTCCATAAAAAGCTTCGTCTTAAGCTAGTATTGAAGAATGAAATTAAAAAATTAATGTAAAAAAAGACTAATGACAATCTGAGTTAACATTTTATACTTATGACTCAAGTCATGACACCGGAATCACTATAAAAAAATTATGAATTTTAATTCTTAACCAATCTAATGTTAAATGATGAAATTTAACAAAAAAAAATAATTTTTAAAAAAGGATCCAAAACAATTAAAAAAATAAAAACAATTAAAAAAATAAAAAATTAAATTTAACATAAAAAATTAAAAAAAGGACCAAAAGCTTTGAGCCAGTTCGAGTTAGCATGGCATATTTGTGACTCAGATCTTGAGGCAGTGTTATCCTCATAGAAAAAATTAAAAAAAAACTTGATCTTCAGTAAATTTAATATTAAAGGATAGAATTAAAAAAAATTATTGTAAAAAAATTAAAAAAACTGATATCAATCCGAATTAACATTTCATACCCATGACTTGAGTCATGAGAACGGGATCATGAAATCAAAACAATTATGAAGCTTAATTTTTAAAAATAAATGTTGAAAGATGAAATTAAAAAAAACTTTCAAAAAAAGAACCGAATTTGACATAAAAATAAAATAAAATAACAAGAGATAAAATTTAAAAAAAATAACTAAGAAAATAATATAAAAAATAATATTAAAAAAATTAAAAAATTTGTTATGAAAACCAAATTGATTTAATATTAAAAGATAAAATTAAAAATAAATAAAAAAATAATTAAGGAACAAATAAAAAGAATTAGTATCACAATTGAGATAAAAACAAAATGAGAGTACAAATTTTAGTTTGGCAGAGAAATCCCAAAAAAAGAAGAAGGGAATTCAATCACGGCCGAACCACCGTGAATCACCGTATGCACGGTGTCTATAGGATGCTCTGCCACTCGGTGCTCAAGATGGCAAGCGGACTGACCCAAGAAACGTGAGTGTTTACAGCAATACACCAATCCCAATTAGGTTTTTTCCCTTTATTTTAATTTTAATATTCACATGCCAAATTATTAACTTAATATGATATTAACTATAGCATTTGATGTTACGGGGCTGCCCTCGGACACATATTTACTACAAAGAGGGCCAGCATCTTTCTTCATTTCACGGATGGGAACAAACACATTTATACCAATGGTTATGATGATTATTTAAAAAACAATAACAATGTTCTTTTCAAAATGAAAGTACCAGTCCTAGTTATAATTCATTATTTTAAAAATAATAACAATGTTTTTTTTTTCTTTTATGCTAGAAAAGTACAAGTACATTTTTTTAGGAGAATTAATCATAAAATTAAGATAAAAGAGCAAATTAAAAACAACACCAACGTTTTATTGTAGCGGTCCTTTTTATCCTTTAACAATTTCTTATTCATGAGCGCTCTCTCTTCGGTAAATTTCCTTCTTGGTCCCTCCATTCTTTTTTTTATTTTGAT